CCAGATTTACATCAAACCAGATTAATTAATTAATCAATGAAATAAGATACTTAGGTAAATGTATAATTTTGAGTAAATAATAAGTGTATTTCCCGAGTGTAAATTTATTACTCATAGTTTAATTGGTGAGTATAACATTGAGTTGGAATTTTTTTAATTTCCTAGCCGACTACCACTTTGTTTGCGGGCAATAATTTAATTCATTTCGCACATCAATTAAAGATACACATCATGACAGAAATGGAAACAGCTATATCATGATTGTACAACTATGGAATATGAAAGTTCCCAGCAAGAGTACAATTATGACAGTTAATATCTCTAATGTGCACTAAAATAATCAATCATTAACATGTACTCTCTCCGTGCTTTTATGATATAGATTTTCATTTTTACTTATCACTTTACATATATTAATAGAAAATAATTTTTTTTATGTTATATCACAATATTTATTATTCATTTCAAATTATTTTCTCAAATCCAATAAAATATGTATTAATTAATATGGGTATCATGATAAATTATACACTTTATTTATTATTTCTTATGATGCGTAAAAAGTCAAAACGTGTCAAGTAAAAGTGAGACGGAAGGAGTAAATCCAATCAGAAATTGCCACATTAATTAGCTAATCAAACAATCACGTGTCATCATATTCCATTCGCACATTCCACTGTCCCCCAAATTCCAGTAAATTCATTTTTCATTTTTATTCTCATTATTAGTATTAGTATAGTATTAATATTTATTTTATTTTATCTTTCTCCACTAATAATAAAACAACTAACGGCTTTTACCAGCTACCGTTTCCTATTAATGAGGCCCAAACAAAGGCCCACAAAATCCGCGTGGTGTAATTCAATCACCGTTCCAGGGGCACCACAGTAATTTCAATTCCTTCTTCACCCTCCCGCTGTAACAATAACACACTCTCTGTTTCCATTTTCATATTTATTTTATTTTTGGTGCAGTAATAAATAAATATGGAAGAGAAGAACATTAGATTTGCATGAAAATTTTGTAGGGGTAGTGCGTGTATAAATACGTACACAAAAGGGAGACGATACGATACGATACTTGACTCTCATCTTCACACGCTTTTCTCTTTCTCTCTCTAAAAAGTTTCTTCCGTTTCTCTCGTCTCCCTTTTCTTGTATTTTGGGGTTTGGATCCTTTATTTGGTTCTGGAAAATCTGTAAGCCAATTGTAATTTTCATCTTATATTTTAATTCTTGTTTGCAATTCATAACTTTGGGCTAGATCTGGTTTTTGAATGCACATATGCTTTGATTCCAATTTATTGCCATTGCAAACTTATGATTCCAGATCTGTTATGGATAAGCGAGCATGCATCGTATTGTGGACCACACATTTGAAATGCTGATGAGCAATGAGAATGTTGTGTTTTGCAGAATACTATGTTGGATCTGATGATCTGTGCTTTTTTTCTTTTCAATTTCAATTTTGTGCTGGTTTTTCTAAATCTCCATTAGTTTGTGATTTGTGACATAATTAATTGATTGATTCATAATTTAATACTGGTTTTTATAATATTGTGGTTATATTTTATTGCTGATCCAGGGAAATTATTTATTAATTCATGTATATTCACTCGCATTTTTTATCTTGCTTTTACCTACTACAACCCCCCCCCCCCCCCCCCCCCTCTCTCCACATAGTCAGATTTATGGCATTAGGTACTTTTCAGAATCCGGGTTGTCGAACTTTTATGTTCTGGGCTTGTTTTTGGTTAATATTTTTGTCGGTGCATAGTTGCTTATTAGTTCTCAAACATTCTCTGTTGTTACCTGGTTATTAAAGAAATCATTTTTATGTCCTTTTTTCCCTTTACGCCTTCTTTTTTAAGCTTTAGGTTTGACAGTTGTTAATAGATGAAATTAATTTATTTCTTGCAGGATTTGAGTTGCTATTAAACTCTGAATATTGATTTGAAATTCGTTAGCTGAAGAAGCTGCATCAAANTTGAAATTCGTTAGCTGAAGAACCTGTATCAAGATGTCGACGTACACTCCTAAGAATATACTCATTACTGGGGCTGCAGGGTTTATTGCATCTCATGTTGCCAACCGCCTTGTTCGGAGTTACCCCGACTACAAAATCGTTGTGCTTGACAAGCTTGATTATTGCTCCAACCTGAAAAACCTTAATCCATCTCGATCCTCCCCTAATTTCAAGTTTGTTAAGGGAGACATTGGCAGTGCTGATCTTGTTAACTACCTTCTCATCACTGAGTCCATTGACACTATAATGCACTTTGCTGCTCAGACCCATGTTGACAACTCCTTTGGTAATAGCTTTGAGTTCACCAAGAACAACATTTATGGTACACACGTGCTATTAGAGGCTTGCAAAGTTACTGGTCAGATCAGAAGGTTTATCCATGTCAGCACGGATGAGGTTTATGGGGAGACTGATGAGGATGCCGTTGTGGGAAACCATGAAGCCTCACAACTCCTTCCTACGAACCCATATTCAGCCACAAAAGCTGGTGCTGAAATGCTTGTTATGGCATATGGGAGATCATATGGATTGCCTGTTATAACCACTAGAGGGAATAATGTGTATGGTCCCAATCAATTTCCTGAGAAGTTAATCCCAAAGTTTATCAATCTAGCCATGAGGGGGAAGCCTCTTCCTATTCACGGAGATGGTTCAAATGTTAGAAGTTATTTGTACTGTGAGGATGTTGCTGAGGCTTTCGAGGTTGTTCTTCACCGAGGAGAGGTTGGTCATGTTTATAACATTGGAACTAAGAAAGAGAGGAGGGTGATTGATGTTGCCAAAGATCTATGCAAGCTTTTTAACAAGGATCCAGATGCAAGCATTCAGTTTGTGGAGAACAGGCCCTTCAATGACCAGAGGTATTTTCTAGACGATCAGAAGTTGAAGAACTTGAGTTGGTCAGAGAGGACCACGTGGGAAGAGGGTCTGAAAAAAACCATGGACTGGTATATCAGTAATCCTGATTGGTGGGGAGATGTCTCTGGAGCATTGCTTCCCCATCCTAGAATGCTGATGATGCCTGGTGGGGTAGAGAGAGGAGCTGAAAAAGATGACTCGGGATCATCTGAGTGCTCTGGAAACTCCAACCAGACCCGGATGGTAGTTCCAGCTTCCAAGATCGGCAACCCCCCTAATAAATCACCTTATAAGTTTTTGATTTATGGTAGGACTGGTTGGATTGGTGGTCTGCTAGGCAAGCTTTGTGAGAAACAGGGAATTCCTTATGAGTATGGAAGGGGACGTCTGCAGGATCGCTCACAACTTTTGGCAGACATTCACGCTGTCAAGCCCACACATGTATTCAATGCTGCTGGTGTCACCGGTAGACCTAATGTTGATTGGTGTGAGAGTCATAAAACTGAAACAATTCGTACAAATGTTGCTGGAACTCTAAACTTGGCTGATGTTTGTAAAGAGCATGGTTTACTGATGATGAATTTTGCCACTGGTTGCATATTTGAATATGATGCTGCACACCCAGAAGGTTCTGGGATTGGATTCAAAGAGGAAGACATGCCCAATTTCGCTGGTTCTTTCTATTCAAAGACCAAGGCTATGGTAGGTACTCCTTAAGACTTATGTGGGTATTCTTTTACGAATTTTGATATTGTTTGTTTCTTTCTTCCACCAGGTTGAAGAGTTGTTGAAAGAATACGAGAATGTTTGCACCCTCAGAGTCCGGATGCCAATATCTTCAGACCTCAGCAACCCCCGTAATTTCATTACCAAGATTAGTCGCTACAATAAGGTGGTCAATATTCCCAACAGCATGACGATTTTGGATGAGCTTCTTCCAATTTCAATTGAGATGGCAAAGCGTAATCTCAGGGGCATATGGAATTTCACAAACCCCGGTGTTGTGAGCCATAATGAGATTTTGGAGATGTACAAGAAATATATAAATCCAGAATTTACATGGGCCAACTTCACGTTGGAAGAACAGGCTAAGGTAATTGTTGCAGCTCGCAGTAACAATGAGATGGATGCTTCAAAGTTGAAAAAGGAGTTCCCTGAGTTGCTGCCAATCAAAGAATCATTGGTCAAATATGTATTTGAACCAAATAGAAAAACTGCTGCATAATAAGCTTTAGGTTATTGGGAGCAGACTTCTGGTTTGGATCAATATGCTAGTTGACTTTGTATTCTAGTTTAGTCATTATTCATCATTAGCAGCCAAAATTTTCTACTGTTTAGATTCTTACCAGTGATTAGAATTCCTATGCTTGGTTGTTCCTTTGGATAAGAGTTCCCCATGTATCTGTTATCAACCCTGTATGCTAAGGGGTTTATTTGTTGAATCTAATATATATGGAATTATGAATTGTTTCTTGCTCCAATTTTTAGTGTTGTTTTTCTCTTCCACATATTGAGCGGAAAGTGTTGTATTTTGCTAGTATTCTAAAGGCAGAATAACTGTATGGAAGCATCTTTATTGGGCTCCAGCAGTAAACAATGCATAGGGCATGTTTAGCATGGATGGTTTTAATTTGGTTTTAGTAATTTACAAGAAAATCATCTTTTACTTCTTAATAATTTACTTACTTTAATGACTTTATCAAATACGTTCTCCATTCCAGGAAGAATGGTTAATTTAAACCACAACAATGCATCAGTTCCTTTGGAGTGAATTTGACATTGATTTTTAAATTTTTTGAAGAATAATAGGCCCTAAAATGTTCCCATTTTGGACATCCAACTTTCAAACATTTATGGGTCTATTAGGATAGAGGCACTAAGATTTAAGAAGTTAGTTCAAATTTTCATATATGTAAACCAAATAGGTGCAATGATTTTATCTTGTGAATTAGAAACATGAAAAAAACTCTTAAGAGAGTCAACATGAGCTCAACTGTTCTTTTATTACACCATAAGCAAGGGATAAGAATTATTTTTATCTCTATTCCAATATATCTCTGCCTTTCTAAGAATTCCATTTAGAAGACTGAAATTGAACACTAGAAAACAAAAGAATGGCCAATAAAATAATTATAAGAATTCTCCTTTGAAGTTCATTTTAATGAGTGACTCCATAAATGATGGTTGTGAGTTGTGACAAGTGCTTGTGATTTTGAACTGCTCGATATGTATGTTAAAGTCCGACGCGCAAAAACATATACGGGTCGGAAGAGGGACAGAGGAAGTCTATTATTAGCTAGCAGAAAGGTTATTTCTTTACTTTGTAGAATTTTGAATCCAGACATCTATATATCCAACGCAAAGCAGGTATAAACGTTTGCTCAATATCCTCCATACAAATCTCCCTCAATCAAAAACACCAGCATCATTTATCCTTTTCATAATGGCGCATTTGAGATAGATGCTTCAGCTAATTCCTTTAGAAAAGCAACAACGTCGTCAGGCGTACTGAGCAAATACCGAGCATTTGTACGAGTCCTGCCAACTGCACAAGAGAAGTAATTCTCCTTCTTCAGATCCAGCACGTTCCAGGACACATTTTCAGGTGAGGTCCGACGTCCACCACCATTGGAAGTTTTCTTCTCTGAGCTTGATACAGGCCTATTCCTGCTCTGAGATGATTTTGAGCTAGTTCGGCTAGACGGAACTTTTGGCGCCGATCGCCTTTCCCCTGGTACCTTCAGTGCATCAGAGACCTTACCCCTTGGAATACCAATGCAATCAGAAGGAAGCTCTGGCTCGAAAAAGGTATATACATCCTCATCCTACATTACAAAGACACCAGACAGAAATCAGAATAGTGGCATCTGTATTTCATAAAAACCCCTGGCGTCGTTTGAAGTTTGACTTATAAAACATACAAAGTTCAAAGGATTTGGATGCAACATGATCCTTCTAGTTTTACTCCATGAATTTTAATATATTTATACAGATGGACATAGTGTAGCAATAAAATGGACAGGACAGGGCATACAACAGCATCAAAATTCAAGATGGACACAGGAAAACAAGTATACAGTTCCAAATGATCAACCTATGCTACTTTAGTTTTCTTAAGTTTTTTCTCTTGGGAGCATTTAATTCTTTTTTTTTTTTCTTTTTTTGAAATAATAGTTAATCAAAATCTGGAACTAGTTTAACAGACAGGGAAACTTTGGGTTACAAAATTTGAAGCTCACAGCAATAGCAGTATTAACTTGAAGAAAGGATATTGTGATAGCTTTAAGGAATCTACCTTCCCTAAGAAATGCCCTATGCATAAGACGTAATCAATTGGTGTTGCAATGGCTTTACTATGTACTATCTCCCCCAGTATACGATCAATTGCTGCTCCCTGCATGTGTATATATGGGTGTATGAGAATTGGGAAAAAGAATTGTCTCATGAACTAATCAAGCGCTTGAAATGAAATTCAGGGAGCAACTTTCTGGTCATATTATCATAAGAAACAATGTGGTCACCTTTGTAACACCAACTGCTCGGACCTCAACGGAGCGGAGTCCTTGTACAACATCAACAGATGCATTTGATATTGGGCCAGTCCAAAGATGCTGCAGCATGTCTCTAGCTTGCAATCTTCCAAATTCAACATCTAAAAGGACATGGAAGACCCCCACAAATGAAAATTATAAGTTAAATAGAGGAAAGAGAGTTGACACGCCGAAGGTAAGATAAACCTGAAAAATCTAAAAACAAAAACTACATGACTGAATTTTCTTGAAAGGAAAATAGATGATGAAACTAAGATTACCTGCATACTTGTAATTCCAAACAAGTGAAGTTTCACGTTGTTCAAAGTGAGATCTCGGTGTCCTTTCAGTGAAGTACTCGAAGACGTGCTGGATATAGTCAAAAGAACCAGAAAAGTTAGAGCTGAAAAATCCACTTTCAGAACCTAGCTACACATGCTCATACCTTTACACTATCAACCCAATCCATATTTAGATGCTCTGGCATTGTTGTCATCCATACACCATTTGTAGATCGCAAAAACATTCCATTCTCTGCTGCTAACCACATGTTGTACTCACTGAAGTTCTGCAAAGGTACAAAATTGGCATGGAAAAACGTAGCGATAGTTGAAGGAATTGAAATTTTGCTAGTTGTAATGCAGTACATCATCTAAGACATTTCTGTCACTTCCACTGAGGACAACAACTGTTGTATTTGGGTCGTTGCAGATTGCGGTCAATGGTTCTTTCAATTCGGGATGCAATTTCAGTTCCATCTCTCTAATTTGATCTCCACCTCTTCTTCCAGGGGTATCCACCGATTCTGTCAGCGCAGAATTGAAACCCTGTTTTTGAGGACCACCGTAATCAAGTCAAGAAATTGTCATTAACTTAGCTAGTTGCTGCATATCAGTATAAAAGAACAGAAAATTAAACTTAAAAACATAATATCTCATGAAATTTAGGCATTCGACAGAGAAACCCAAAGAGTCCTCACAAAGGCAAAGTACGGGGAAGTGGAGGCTGCATCTATTCTTCTTCACACGTATAACCCCTTCCCACAAAGTCTACCACTAACTGGAGATGTTTCCCTCCCAGAATCACCGAGGCCCCGGAATCATGGTAGCATCCCAGATCCCTTCATTCTTCTATTGCTAATTCTTCACTTCTACAGCCAAAATCATTAGCAGGCCACCCCCTTCACCCATAATATGCACACCAAATCATCACCAACATAACTTGGACTCGAGTGAACATGTCAAATCCAAAAAAAGTTGGTATGCTATCCAAATTAGCATAGGCTTTTGCCACTAACTTGATTCATCGTCTAAAGCCATCTAGGTAGCCTTTCTGCTATATATGAACTCTTCCAGAATCAAACGATTATTATCAATCACAGGAATCATTAGGGAAAACAGTTAACTGTAGCTTCTGGATAAATAATTTCAGCAGATTACATTTGAAAGAGGGATGAGAGGTACCAATATTAGTAGACGATTATTGGACAACAAATAGCGGTCAATTGCATCACTGATGTTAAGTCGGGGTGGAACTTTTCTTATCCTCTGTTGAGCTTCAATAACAGTATCATTTAGTTCACTGCGAAGAAGAGGAATAGTGGCCGATTAATATGCAAATTTTATCCAAAAGAAGCTCTACTAAAAGATCCATTTATAATCTCAATTAATAAACATGACAATGCTTAAATTGCACCAACAGTATCTATGCCGAGGAAAGATTAAAACGGCTGACATAGGAGAGTTGTTTAATATCAAGAGAAGCCATGCAACAAAACATGGAAATGATCAAGGAAGATATGCAAACTATATAATATGGTGCCTCCAATCATTCTCAAGGTAGGCATACCCTAAATAAGAGTGTGTATATTCTGACATAAGATCCTAGTCAGTTAAACAGGCTGCATAGGTACTTTTATGACCCTAAGAATAAAAATATAAATCCAAGGTCTAACCTGACCTGTTCCAATCCATGGATCAAATAACTCCGAACTAAAGACAGATAGGAAGAATCAACTTGAGTAAAGAAAGTGCAAATGAGCATTGAAGCATCAGAGCCACAGCCATGAAGTTAAACTCAAGCAAGAACTGACTTCTCTACTATCTTGCTTCTTCAATTCTTCAAGAAGCCTTGTTGCATACTTTGCGTTTACAGCAAAAGTAGAACAATTAGGGTGGTATTGTATGGTTTTATACTATTATTACTCTTTTGCCGCCAAACAGGTTCTTTACAGGAGTCTGATCAGTGATTAGGAAAAAATTCAGAGTAGCTTTACACTGTTAACGACAATAGGCTATTGCTGAAATGTATTGTCACCTCACAAAAGTTTCAGCCCATTCTTGAGCAGTATGGGTAGTCACATGCAGAAAGTTATGCCTGTGGCGTTTTTCTCTTTCTTCGGCTGACATATTTAAAGCTTGCCCAATCGACGCAGCGACCTCTGTGATATTCCATGGATTCACCAGAATTGCTCCAGCACCTAAGGACTGTGCAGCACCTGCAAACTACAAATGCACGAGATGAAAGATTAGAAAATTTATCTATTGAAACTATGCACATACAAAGAGAGATGAGACAATTTCAAGGTGTTGGACAGCACAGCAGTAAAATCTCCTTCAAAATTACTGCAAAACTGAAATGGTAGCTCCATTATTTTGATTTCACAAATTATCTTACTCCATGACAACGTATGATATAGAATACTCAATAGTTACACAATTAGGAAGAGAATAAGCAACATGTCAGTTATGGATTATTTAGATATCTAACTGAATAGAAAGGGATTGATTTTTTTATTTGGTTGACATACTATGTTGTGTCACATAAAAGCAATCTAAACGAGAAAACACCAAAAACAGAGGCTGTTCAAAGAAGCTGGAGCGCAGCTGTTCATGGCCTGTGTCACAGAAACTTGTCAAATCAGATGTTCTATCTGCAAAAGGTCTTACAAAAAATAACCTCCTTGACTTTGGAAATGAATAAGACGTAAGAGAACAAAAGATACCATGTATGGAGCATCGTGTGTGATTCAAGAAGACTGAGGGGCATCAAAATTTTAAAAGGAATTAGGATAACTGTAATCTTGCTTTTGTTTTCGATAAACTGTTAGCCTTGTCAAAATCAAGTAGCAAAGAAACACAAAAATGTCCATCTATGTGGGTTATGCTGCAAAAATCTTTTCATCTTATCTGTTCACAATGCCTGAAAGCATAAAACACTTGTGAAACCAAAAAACTAGTAAATATGGCATTCGAGGAAATAGAATTGCAATTGGATACGTGATTATTACTTCGCTGAGAATAAGGACCCCTTTTTTCGACTCCTGGCAGGCCACAAATTCATAGCTAACAAGGTTCATGCCATCCCTTAAGGAGGTAACCAGCGCTACATCTGATGAACAAGACATTGCCAAAAGAAGTCAAATACAACAGGAACGGGCATGTAGCTACCACATGGATTTAGCTAATGATGAAAAGACAAATGAAGGTACCGATATATATCATATAATAGTACATCAACTATAACAAAAGCAAGAATGGTATTTGGGACGATGACAATGATAATCTTGCAGTAATTATTTATTCTAGAAGATTATATATTTGCAAACTTTTTGCCATCATGTCAGTAATATATCGTTTTACCATTTTATAGTCTTGAACCATCGGGAATATGACAAGTAGAATACAAACTGTATTACTAGTAAAGGATTTTTTTTGTTCCCTTCAAGATCACTAAAGCAATAAGGTATATCTGGACTATGTCATGCATATGTTTTCTGAATGTGACCAAGCATACTCATCCCCTGTTCAAATCCTGGAGCACAACTTATGCATTATCTAGTCGATAAGCCATGTTTTAATACATGACTGGTTGCAGTAGCTTACTAGGAACTCGGCACCTCAGTGGTCCATGCTCCAAGTACAATCCATATAGGAAATAAGTTGGAACAAACAGGTAACCACTGGGGACCTGTGCATGAAAGACCATTTCATGGCTGGAGCAATAAAATCATTCTCCCTAGTCCATGCAGGGTAAAACCCATCTATAGATCATGGTCAAACTTCTGTGTTCATTATAAGAAAATCAACCAATAGAGAAGGAAGTGCAAGATACCCAAAACAAAGAAAGCAGCATGAAAACAGACTCTTGGACTTCTAGCTGATGATCACTTTCTGCCTTGGGTGAAAGCAAGATGAGAGTGTGAGGAAAGGAATATGTTGGTTTGGTGCCAGAGGCAGAAAGAACTTCACAGGAGAAAGGCAGTAAGAAAATATATAACTACAATACCTACATGTTCATAGACACAATTCTCCTTCCCATCCCAGACTGAATGCCCACATTTCACTACTACATCAAAACGATTCAACCATTTAGTACGGAAAGGATGAAGTTAAAACAATATGCCAGATCTCAATAATAAAGCCCAGTGAGCAGATCTAAACGTATCTTCAGTCTTTCACAAGTTTTGAACCAATTCCGGATCTGCAAGTTTGATATCATTTTTCTAGAAAATCTAACATGATGCAGACTTCTCTGAGAACATGCAGAGGCCTTTATAAACTATTCCATTGTCAATATCATTTGTAAGGACCATAAGAGTCGTGAAACTACAAGTATTTTAAGCCTGGGGGAGTAATTATCCTAAATTCTGCCGGAAGTGGCTTTAAAAAAGAACGAATTACCAAACCTGAAGGGAAACAACCTTATGAAAACTGTGTGGAGATATACCCTTCCCCATATATGTATTAACAAAGAACTATTTACTAACCAGGAGTACAACCGTACATAAACATCAACTGCTCACCGCTCTTCTCTTCTCTGTTCATAGTTTAGTTCCAATTCCAGAGACAATCTAATAAACTCGTACCAGGTGAGAGCACAAGCAAGTACTAGTGCTTACACTTACTCTTAAAGCACAGAAGAAAATGACCAAACATAGATGAGCAGAAACAACACTAATATTACACATTATTATCTCACAGAATAGCATAGCGTAGTGCAACTAAGAAGTGTGGGGGTTGGGGGTGCAAATGGGGTGTGGAAGCTGCTAATAGAACTAAATGCAAGATGAAAGGGATTACCAGTTACAGCATATAGTGCACATAATGCATGAAAGTCAAGAGATCGATCCTGCATTGAAAAAACAGTATAACCATATTAGCCTTGGTATAAAATTCAGGAACAATGAATTTAGGGAAAAAAAACTAACCAGATGATGAATAGGCACTGCTGTCAAAGTTCCAAATCGGCCATTGATGCGTCCAACAATCTCATGAACCTGACTAGTAAGTTTTTGGTCTGCAAAAATACAAGGTGAAACCAAGTAAAATATCATACTTAAGCATGAAGATAAATTATGACATACATCAGCATTTATAACCAAGTAAATCTCATTGAAATTTGACTGTCCTTAAGGTCCAGCTGGGTTCATGAGTTCCCAGATATTTAAGTTTTTAAGATTCAGAAAAGGGAAGTAAAGCATTGTCCTAGTTGAAAGCTCGCAAGAGAATCTCCCTTATGAGTGATACTTGAGCTAATTCAAGGAGAATAAGCTAGTCACCAAAGTTCATCAGATTAAAAATGCCATTTTCATGGAAGCATTTCTGGATGCAACAGACAAAGTATCTCACGGAATCCACTGGAAAATAGGTGAATAAAAAATGTAATAAGCTTTGGTTTGAATCCCATCTTTGTTCCTCTCATGGATGTTCTGTCCAAGTTGAGGACTGTGCTGGATGATTAATGCTCAGAGTTAGCTATCAAGAATTCTAAATTTGTATTGAACTGCTTCAACTTCTTTGAGAACTTTACATGTGTAATGTTTTTCCAATGTCCTAGCATTACACACTGCAATCTTATTCTAAAATGAAACCAAAAAGAATCAGATAACCACCTCAACTAGTTTTCTTGCCAAGTTCTTTAATGTAACGACAGATCATTGTTGGGTCCAAACTATACTGTTATGCAACTTTCTAATTTAAATTTTGTACCTGATGTCTCTGCTGCAACACAAAACTTCATTACAGCTATAGCGTGGAAGGTAAAATGAGGCGCGATTCCCTCAACATACAGTTTAACATCAATGAATGCCTTCGAATATCTAAACCAATATGGAAAGTACGCACTAGGTTTAAGACAGAAAGAAATGGAAAGTGAATAAGGAGAGAGAGAGAGAGAGACAGAGAGAGATTTCTCTAATATGATCACTTCTATCTCCTACCGGTGCAGCTATCTGAGTCTTTGCTAACAAGCTAGGAGTAATCAAAGATGACACATGGTTCTAAGCACAGATGAATTAGCCAACAGGAAGGAAGGATTATATTCTGCAACGAAATAGATTTATGATGGAATGCCTGTGGCACATGTCTTTTTCCGGGGCACTCAAGTTTGGATCATTCTTTTTTGGATACATTTAACAATTAACTTAACAACTCCAAAAGCTAGCTAGCCCTCAAGTCCGGATCATTAAGATCATTAACAGGGATCTTTAAATTTTTAGAGCGTCTATATTTGGTAAAGAATCTATGATGCTTTCCCCTAGACAAATTTTTTTAGGCTTTGACCAATAGACTTATGAATCAAAAAACTCCCCTTCCTAGGAACTCTCTGTTCAGATGTAAAAACAGCTGATGATGAACTGGACCAGTATAGTGGAAAGTAAACTTTCCCTACAGGCAGTAATGGCAAATAGGAGAAAAGGAAAAAATAAAATGATTTAGGAATAAAGAAGAACTCAGAGTGAATGTGCCCAAGAAAATACATTCAGGAACATCTGTTCTTGTTGGCACAGCAATTTGCAGCAAAACCACTTTATCACGCCAGTACGGGTTTTCTTCAAGGAACTTCTCAAATGCTAGGATCTTCTGGGGAATTCCTTTAATCATATCAAGGCGATCAACTCCTAACATCACCTGTAATCAGATTTATTTAGGGAAAACAAAGCAAGGTAAAAGTTTATAGGACCAATGCATAAACAAATGCAGTAGATAAGGTTATCCTCCTACCTGACAACAGGCAGAAACAGAAGAAAGTGATATGAGTTTGGTATACATAAAACAAGATAAAAAAATGATTAGCAAGAACGCTAGACTGACATAGCTTTGCAACAAAGGGCGAGGAAATTCCAGTTAGCCTTCAGAAAATTGAAACATACATGACTTAGAAGCAAATACATTTCACCTTTTAATGAAAAAAGGAATATGGATTTTGTATAAAACAGAAAAATGGGGAAAGATTTCCAGCCCTAATAAAGCCACATGGAAATTCTAAGAGAGTGTAAAAGCCACATCTGCTTTAAGGCAGCAAAACAACGGAACATGGTTACTCCTGGCAAATGCAAAGAAATCTTTCTTTCTCTCTTTTTTTTTTCTCTCTTTTTTTTAAAAAAAATTTCTGTCCAATTTCAATATTCATATCTATATACTGTTTCATAATAGGAGAAATTTAGTAAGAAATATCCGACTATCTAAATGGTAAGCATGTCAACTAAAGTAACATAACGGAAGTATTTACTTATTACGCTTTCAAGATACACCTTCTGGTGCATAGCAAACAGGCAACTTTTTGCTTGATGTAAGCACATGAAAGTATTGTGATGACAGGTAGCCGTAGGACTTGAATCTATGGCGGATGCCTGCCCCTGTTTCATACTACTTTATCTAGCCCCCATTTTATCGAAAATACACTATTAGCAAATGGAGACATTACTTCTGTAATCTTTGTAGCGGAGGTACAATTTTCAGGAGACGATGGTAAAATTACCCAAGATGGATCCAGGTCATGACCAAGTCCCCAACTGGCCTAAGGAACTGGGAAGCGGAAATATGATGTTGATGGAATTCAAGGCCAAGATTTCACAGTTAAAAATAGACAGTGAAATTGGTGAAAAATTTTCGAAAAGCAAATTGTTCCCCATGTGATGCATATTGCAAATATAAACGTTTGGAATCAGAAAAAACAAAAAGATATTTCTTACTTCATGAAAGTGATATCATGCGAAAAAGAAAAACCAGGCCAGATAGAGAGGATACAGAGCGGGAGAGAAATACCTTTCTCCCAGCAAATCTATCTTTTAGTTCTTTAATGTGTTCCTGAACTTGAGGAACTTCAAGTGCTCGAATGAATCGCTCTGAATCTATACCAATGGGGAACTGTATGTACAGAAACAATTTAAAAATTGCTCAGAAAGAAATCAAGTTGATATTACGCAAGGCTAAGTACACAAAATCTTCTAGATGAGGATTAGAGAATTTCTTAATGCAGAAATGTTGTGTGAAAGTGTAGAAAGTTAACTTTAACATACCGCAGCAACACGGGTCAGTCTACCTTGATCTTCTACTCCTTCGGGAGTTCCTTCAAGTCCAAGGATACGAGTACAGGCACTAACGAAATGCCTTGCATAGTCATAGGTATGAAAACTGCAGAGGAAATTTAACATACTGATCCATTAGAAAGTCAAATAAAAATCCCTAAAACATGACTAATCATTCCTAGCTTGAGTAACAATTAGATGGTTTTAAATCATCAAACTATGCAAATATAGGTCAAAGCCCTAAGGACTCTCATTACATAGAGGCTAACGGATGAAAAGTCACAGGAGAAAAAGTGGACATCATTTCCTTAACGGACCAGGAAGTCAAAGATGTGCAATGAAGTGGAAGTTAGCTACTCTTTCATGATAAAACCAAAACATAGTACCAAGGAAACCCACAGCTGAGCAATATAGTACACTGGTATCTGATGGAAAATCAGGAGGAAGAGCAACTCATGTTAGTCTTCTAGAATTATTGGATAGTCATTATACAGACAGCTAAAAGTTACCAGTGAAACCAGCATATTCTCCTTTTCAGCTTAATTTGAAAGATTATGCTACGATTGTGAACCAATTTCGCCAGTACACTTTCTTTTACGAATCAACTTGGCCAAAACGCTAGCCGGTTTTGTCTTAACTAGTGGAATCCTATTTTTTTTCACAAAAGAAATATCTGTATATCAGCTTAAACTCTGGAATGAAACTTCAAAGCCTACTTTGAAATAAAAGAACCTAAACTGGCAGACAGTTTGTTTTGAAAATATAACCACACATGTATTATTTACAGAGGAAAATCCATGGATGAGCATTATGTTTAATGATTAGCATTCAATAGAACATCAGGAGGCCCAAATAAGAAGCCACTTGGATTACCATTCTAAATTTAGCCCAAATACTATCAAGTTTTTAGTAATTAAGTAATAGGATCTGGTTTTTAAAAAGGGAAAAAGTCACACCGGCTTAAACTTTTATCTGAAGCTTTACAATCCAATGAACTGAAAGAATACCCCATATTATACATGGAAACCTCTCACCAAAAAACGGAAAGGACTCTAATAGAAGACATTCGATGCATGAAAGTTCTTGGTACTGCATTCTAAACCAGAAGTGGCAATTCGTATTTAAAACCATAACAGTACAAGTTCATGCAGATAGAAATGGTCACTGGAAATTGAAGCATCAGAATCTCAACACAACTAAATCCAAATATCCTATCAAATAATAATTCAATAAAAGGATCTTCAACTTCAGCATGAATTTCCAAGCATCTAACATAATTGAACTAGCAGCAAACTAATAGCAGATTCATGGAACACCCATTATTCTCAACATTAATGATGGGGAAACTGCTGCAGATTTGAAATAGCAGAACCAGCACACTTTGCTATTAAGGTCTGATGTAAATCTCTTTAATATAGACTTTTCTTAGTTGTACTTTCTTGGCAGAGTGTCTTTCACAATCATGCTAGGTGTTACCAAAGCATATCTTTCATGCCAGGCCTAACCAGGTAAAGTTAGTGAGAGGAAGAGATTTCACAGAAATCTAACCACTAGTACGTTATTTCTTTTTTACCGGCAATAAGTTATTTCTACTAAACAAAACCCGTAGATCGACGCCTACAACCTTAGAATTCAAGATCCTTGCTATCCACTACTTCAACTTTCACTCTCAGCACAGAGAGACAGGAATATCACTCTGAGGCCCAAACAACTATTTCCAAAATTATGAAGGTTAAACTAAAACAACAAGTTAGATGATATGCAGGAGAATGAGTTGCTCAAAGGAGAATTTACCCAACCAAATCAGCCGCGAGAACTGCTCGGAGCAGCTCCGATCTAGATGGCAAAGTCCTGTGGATTTCTGAGGATGGAAAGGGTGTGTGTAGAAACCACCCAACTTTCATTTGGCTGTTGTACTCCTTGAGACATTTAGGAAGGAACATGAGATGGTAGTCATGACACCAGACTACATCGCCTTCTTCATAATGTTCAGTCACAACATCGGCAAACATTTGATTCGCTTTCTTATAAGCAGCAAACTGAGACTGGAAACTTCTGGTAGTCGCGAGGCGGTCTTCTTGCGGAAGTCCAAGATAATGGAAAAGAGGCCACAATATGTTGTTGCAATAACCGTTGTAATACTGATGAACAATTTCTTCATCCAGGAACACAGGGATACACCTCTACAAGAACAGTATCAAAAGGGTAAACAAATGCAGGATATAGGTAAAGCATTCTTCATGGAGAAAAAAAAGAAGTAAAGCAATCTCCCCAGTCTTAAATTCAAAAAGGCAATGAAGTGTGGTAAACTGAAATATGGTGGCAAAAACATGAGGAGGACGATGTATTAAAACCTTTTCTGCTAGTGCTTTAGTAAGCGCCCTCTGCCCCGCCTCATCTGGCACGTTCACACCCGCCCAACCAATCCATCTAGCCTCAAACTCCTTCACACCTTCAACAAATTATTTCCAGGACAATTAGACCGTCTCTTAGATAATATGAACATCAAACTCCCAAAAAGAGATAATTAGAGTCTACGTAAAAAATAAGAGTCAAAATGTAAAATCAGAAATGACTGAAAGGAAGCTAGCTTACCAAGAAGAGCACTAACTAGACCTCCACCACTTATCTCCAGAGACCAGGATTCCTCACCCCTTCTTACTGCAGAGACGGGTAACCTATTAGCCACAACCAGGAGTCGTTGTCTGGTGGGCCGTCCATCGGGCCGCTCCCATCCCTCATTATATGCTCGTGCAACTCCTTCTAGGTACTGTTCGACATATGAAACTCCTGCATTATCAGCTTCTCCTTGGCGAAAATCATGGTCAGAGAGCTCATTGCCCCTGTTGCTATCAGTAGAATCGCTTGTTTGATGAGAAGTTCTGCTAGTTTTCCTTAGCTCTCTTTCTCTCAATAGCCTCTCCAATCGAGTGGTGGCAACCGTTTGGTTTCCGTTATACTTGTTCCCTGGCATCTGTCTAGAATAAGACCTCCTAGGATGAATTTAATAGAGTTCTGTTGTCCCTGAAAACAAACGTCTTTCATCTTGATTATAACGAATTAAGAGGTAGTGATAGAAGAAACTCCCTCCTGAATGATATAAGAATTTTTAAAATTCCACAATCGCCTCAAGTACGAACAGTGAAAATGCAATTGCACAGCCCAGGGTAACATATATGAACAGGACATCAGCATTCTTGTTGAATAACCCAATAAAACTATGCTTCAATTCCAAGCTAGTGGGTCGCTATCCATGTTGCAACATTTAGACACGTACCAATCCAATCTTTAAAAAATTTGAATAACCAATAATAGAGAAAAACGGACTTATACTAATGAAGAGATAACAGGGAGAATGGGATCCACAGAATTCTACAGGGGAAATGGGGTCTACCACTAAGAGTCTTGGCTGTTTTCCTCCAAGATTTTTAATTAATCACGTTGTACATTTCATTTGGTATCGCAAGTTCAGTTCAAGAAAACGAGAAAAATCAACCAAAGTGAGCAAGGACAAGTGTATCGCAAGTTCAGTTCAAGAAAACGAGAAAAATCAACCAAAGTGAGCAAGGACAAGTGTATCGCAAGTTCAGTTCAAGAAAACGAGAAAAATCAACCAAAGTGAGCAAGGACAAGTGTATATGTATAAAGGCGCACAAAAAGTAAAAGAAAGAACGATTATTAGATTCAACTCGGACACTAGCACAAACACATTGCATGCAGAAAATCAACGCCTGCTATAGAATTGAGAATTCTAACCTTTTGGGCAGCTAATAAAGCCACAAATATTTGTGTGACAGGTAAACAGTCTTAACCCAACTTCAAAAACCACCAGAAATCAAGACTCGGTCAAACCTGAGGGTTCGGGCCTAATTTGATCCAAACGTCAATAACCAGAAAAGCTATAGAATCATGACTCAGAAAGAGCAGGAGTTAGAACCAAGAATTAACATTTGGTGGATGAATTAAATTGGTAACCTTTGATTAAGGTGAAAGAGGGAGAAATAGAGAATATATAAAGATTTCGGGTGGCAGAGAAGAGAAAATTATCATAGCGAGAGAGGAAGTGGAAGTGGAAGAGCAGACGAATCCTCGTGTAAGCTTTAAAAGGTACATAAAGCCTTACAGCCATGCAGCTGACACAGATTTTATTTTTTGAGATTCGTATTTAAAAAAGCTGGAAAAGGCAGCGCTTACGCAAGAATGCACATTCATGGTAATACCCAGGAACTAATTTTGTTTTAATTAAAAAATTCTTTTAGGAAGCGAACCTAATAAAAAATTAATCAGAAGAAATTATAGAGAACCCGAACCCTCTTTTGAAGGGTCTATACGGGCCACTTGAGTCTTTGAAAGGGTCTATTTTATATTCTTTTTTTTTAATATCTGAAAAGGAATCTCAAATATGATTGTTCCTTTTATAGGCGTTTAGGACCCCAGGTTAACGTAACGTTGTCCAGCGGAGTCTGAGGCTTTAATTTTCAATTCAATCAAAGTTATTAAAAATTTTATGCATAAGTTTACTTCTATGCCCTGACAATGTTATCTATGACTAATTTCACACTATCAGACTTAATTTTAAATGACACAACAACGGCGAAGAGGTAAAAACTAGGGGTATTATAATTTTTTAGCTCGCACCAGAAACTATTTACATCTGCCGGTCGAAATCTGAATTTTTAAGATTTTTTGTTTGAATTTTCGGATTACGGATTGGATTTTGAATTTAATTTTTAAAATTTTTGAATTTCGGATTGGATATTGGATTTGGTACTCCAAAAATTCGCAATTTTTACATTTTATATTTAGTCCATTATCCATATGCTAATAGTAATAAGTTCAATACCCTACTCATTAGATATTATCTCATATATTCAATATTAATTATTAAGTTATTGTCAGAATACTTTCTATTTGGATATGGTTTTACTATTGCTACTTCTTATCGGTCGTATTAATGTCTCTATTGCATTTCCTTGATAATAATTTCATTACTTGAATACTTTATTTGGATAATTGCGGTACGGTGAGCATGAAGAACTTTTCAGGTAATTTAGTATGAGTACTTTATTTGTGTATTCATTTTTTTTTAAAAGAAGACACATCTCAATTTATAAGCTCAAAATCGAAAATTCAAAATATCCAAACCGATTAATCCGAAACCGGACTTAAAAATTTCGATCCAATCCGAGCTTATTTGGATTGGATTTGGATTGTTATTTTTTCAATCCGAAAATCGAAAATCCAAACCGAAATTTTTATATCCAATCTGAATTGCCTGAACGCCCACCCCTAATAAAATCTCTATAAAATTTAAATTTGAAAATAAAATAAATGACCTATTATAAAGTTTAACAATCTATAATAATCTAATTTGGAAATATAGAAATAAAATAAATGTCTGTTATAACAAATTAAATGTCTCATAATGTAAAAGTCAATTATGTCATAAGTGGATATAAGTTAAAACCTTAACAAAATGAGTATTAACAAATATTCTTTAAAAGAAAATTTATTTTATTGATCAATCATATAAAAGTTTACCGTAAATAAATTACGTTAATAAAAGCCTTGGGCCTTCTTAGGAAATACGAAATGTGTGTGGATGATGTGCTGGAATAAAATAAAAGACTTGCTATAACAAATTAAAATATTTATAATATAAAAAAATCAATTAACATCATAAGTGGAATTCTATATCATCGATCAATTCTATATCTTAACAAAAGCCCTTAACAAAATGAGTAATAAGAAATATTCTTAAAAAAAAATCTATAGCATCCATCAATCATAGAAAACTTTACCGTTAATAAAAGCCCTAGGCCTTCTTAGGAAATACGAAGTGTGTGTGGATGATGTGCTGTATATATAGCAGCAGTCACCACAACCAATGAGGATTTAATATTTTGCTTCACGAGGTTGGCGTTCACATCAATCCTAACCAACCGAATCTTTTTCCACAAAACTAACAATAAGAGCAAAAACAAAATCCACAAAGCTTTTCTGATTTCTCTCTATGCAACAGTCCTAGTGGAAAATAAAGTGGAGGGTGGATTGAACACAACTTTACAACAATCAAGCACATACACACACAGATGTGACATTTTACAGACTATATGGAGTACTAGAATTATTTTAGCATTTTTTGGTGACAAAGACTTGAAAATTTTACCGTGAAATAATGAATTTAAATGTTATTTGTTAAATTCCAAAATCCACATAAGCAAGTAAGACTGAAAATAGTTTTTAAATGTAGTGTACCGATTCTATTCTTCTGAAATTTAACAAGTTCAAATTCAGTGGGCAAGCACAACAGTACATGAGCTCCTGCATTCAAGATGGAGTGGCGGACTACCAATGCACTTTTTACGTCACCTTTTGTGCACTTCAAATTGTGTCCTCAAAATTTAGTGGAGTATCTAATACTCCTAAATCAGACGAAGCAGATCTTTTCTATTTCATGTGGAAGGATATCTATACTTCCATATATTGCGTTTAATACACCAGCACTTTTTTTACACTATTAGATTAAACAAAAGATATTTATAAAAATATACATATATTAAACAAAAAATATTTACAGGTAATTATTCATAAAAATAAGATTTATCATTTTAAAAACAAAGTTTAAAAATTCTTTTTACAGTCACTGAATATTGGTTAAACTCTTTATAATATAGTATAAATTTAAAATGAATCATCACTTTATCTGAAAATCATGCAAACAGAAAATTCCCGAAACATGATTTCAAAATAACGGCATTAAAAAAGCAGAGCGAACAGCTAAGGATTCACATCCTCTTTCGCTATGCCTAGAAAGTACTTGTTCAACCAGAATTTCAGCGATTTTGTGATCGCGAATTCAAATCCAGATCATTCAATCGGCCAAATACATGGAACCGCACATACATATACATACAGCACAGATTTCACTTTTCAGAAAGAGATAGCAGAGAGAGAAAAAATACCTGAAAATTGAGCAGCGATGAACGATGAATGTTTAGATTCTCAAATTGGAAATGTGGCTGAAATTGAAAGAGAGAAAAGATGTTTTGCAGAGCATATATATAGAGTGGCCACTGGCCAGTGCTATAGAGGGAGAGAGGAAGGCAGCTTTCAGGCTAAGAAAGAGAAGGCTCGAGAATAAAAGAGAGGCAAAAAGCAAATGAAAGGAAAAGGCAGCTTTATGTTTTTTTTTTAAATTGCAATTCACAGCTTCAGTGAAATGTGTACGTGCGCGCGCATATGAAGAGTTATATCTATACTCAGAATCGCGAAAAGGGGATTTTGCTGGGTGAGATGGGGATATCTCCGCCTTTTATAAATATTGCACTGTGAAGGCGAGACATTGGCCGACTTGGCTTTTTCATTTGCTTTTTTGGGCCTTTTGGCTGGGTTTGGCAGTTTGGCTTCACCGTGCCCGGTGGGGTGGCCTTGTTCGTCAATCAATTGGCTTGGGTGACTGAATTTATTCTTTTTTTTATTATTATATATTTATAAGTAATGTTAACAAAATATGCGTACCATTAATCTTATCGAGTTCGAGCTCTTGAAATGGAGAACTTCTTGTTTGAGAGTGTTTTACCTTCTATAGTAGATCTATTGGTGTGAATATGAATTATTCTGACTGATAATAATTTGAATTATAACTAGTCGTTATTGGCACACTTTCAGTAAAATTGTTATTTGACGATAATTTTTGGGTTTTGTTGGATACTATTATATACAGTGAATGGAAGAGGTAATATTCAGATAATCTCTAATATCAAAGAAATTATAATCTGTTTCAAATCATTCAATTGTTGAATGAAACGGAACAAAGTGAAAAATTTTATATAGCTTACTCCAATTAAATTGTAATTGAGGTATAATTGTTCTTACGAATATGATGTGATCACGTAATTAAATTGTAATTGAGGTATAATTGTTCTTACGAATATGATGTGATCACGTTATTGGATGATGTTGGATGATATGTTCATCTATTGGGCGGATTATAATATGCATTTGGATTATAAGGATTTAAACAATTGAAATTTGAAATATGACCTCCTAGTCACCTAGTTGTCTCTTGAGAAGGAATTTATTGAGATGAGATATAATTAGTGTCACACCTCCTTTTTACCCCCACAAAGATAATGTGTATTATGAACGGTGGATTAAAGAGTTTTTCTAATTAAAGTGACAAACTTGATTAGGGATTATTTTATTTACAGAGTCGCCACTCAAAATTGATTTTTTGGGTGTTCCAAGTCACCTTTTTTTTGAATCCCTAATCAAAGGAATGTTTGACTCTATTATTATTGGTATGCAAAAATAAAGTCCGAGTAAGGAATTCTGTTGACCGGGGAGAAGGTGTAAGGCATTCCCGAGTCTCGTGGTTCTAGCACGGTTGTTTTATTGACTTAAACTTGGCTTAAATTAATTATGGATAAACTGTGATTTATTGGTTTCCATATTTTATTTATCCGCTTTTAATTATAAAAATATGGAATTATCTTTGAAACGAATCACTTATGTGAATCCGTTTTGTTTATTGTGCCAAAATCATGTCACGCGTACGCATACACAATTAATAGCATTTTATTACACTAAGATTATTTTTTTCAAAGTTGCGCGAACGCATACTTCAATTTTAATTTTAGAAATCATAATTGTGTCATGTAAATATGTACATAATCACGATAATTTATTTATTAATGCGCGCCTGAAGCATACTAGCAATTATTAAGATTTGTTTTTTAAAACTAATTTTGAGATTATTCCAAGGCCATTGATTACGGAATTTATTGTGGAAGAAATGTAGTAAATTAGTTAAAGGTAGATTAGCTTACTTTAGATACTAAGTTGGCTCCATTATTTGTTATTGAGCTGATGTGCCTCTTTATTATCGAAAGCATTTGGCCCAAGTCCTAAATCATGCTCAGCCTTGCAACAAACCATAAGAAAAATTACAAAAATAAAATTTTTAAGAAAAAGCACTATAGCACAAACTAAACAACTTATACTAATTTTTCATTAACATAGCTGAAATAATGCAATAGAGATGAAGTCCACATAGAGGGAAATATTAAAGCACATAAGTACACTCATCAAGAAAACATAACTTCATTTAGCTTTAAGATTCAAGACATAGGACTTCCAATCATAAATTAATCAAGTATAAAGGTGAGAAATGAACCTTCTTTAGAGTCAAAATCACCTCAAATGCTAAAAATCAAA